GGCTGAAGCCGCTCAGTGGTTCCGTGTTTGGTTCTGACTTGCTTTGTGACCTGCCTACAAGCTCCTCAGGAGACAAGTGAGGTGATCTGGCACTGCCATCCCTTCGGTGACGGCTGCCTTGCAATACGGTCTGAGGGCAGGAAATGCTGTTCCCCCTTTGTTCCAACTTCTTTTCATCTTGATTCTGAATCTTCTGTTCCAAATGAATGTTATTATTTCATGAAGTTCTATAAGTATCCCTTTGATAACTTGGTTAATATAGCATGAAAAGTATAAGTTAACTTGGCTAGTATTGTCGTTTTTATGACGTTGGCACCATCCAGGCACGGGCCCTGGATGTGCCTTCAGCTGTTTGGGTTGTCCTTTATTTCTGTAAGGAGCTCTGTGTAATTAAATCTATATGCTCTTTTGTGTGCTTTGGTAGAGTGATTCCCCAGATATTTGATGCGCTGTATAGTTATTTGGAGTGGAATTTCTCCCTCTATTATTGCTCCTTGGGTTTTATTGTTATTAGAATGTAGAAGTGCTCTTGATGTTTGAGGATTTTATTTGTAGCCTGAAACTCTGCGGAAGCTGTTAGTTGCTTCAGTCAGTATCTTTGCTGATTCCCTGGGGTTTTTCAAGTAAACCTTCATACTGTCAGCCAGTAGAGAATTTTTTTTTCTCTTCTCCACCCATCTTTATGCCTTTCTGAAGTCCTTGCCTCTGGTCAGGATCCAGGCGTACCCTTCTCAGGTTTTCGGTTTGTTACCCAATACTTTGTTGTTCTTGGCTCTGCTTTCTTGACACCTGGCACCATCCTGTGGGCCCATGTGAATCGCTAGGAATGTCTTTAGACTTCTCCTGTCCAAAGTACCCTTGCCCATGCAGCCTCACGTCCTGGCAGGCTGGCCCCCCAGGCCAAAGAGGGGTTCATTCCTCTTGTGGCTGCCTTACTGAATGGCACCACGCTCCTGATGTCACAGTCCTCCTCAGGAACAAGCCTGACTGAATCATTTCGGCAGGACTTTCTCTCCCGGGCTCCTGACGTACCTTCTTTGTCTTCCCTCCCCCCAGCCCCCTCCTCCTTTTCAGCTCCCTCTCATCATGAGAACGGTGGCTCCTTGGGGCAAAGATGGTCTTTCTTCCTGTTTTGGTTTGTCTTCCTTGCACCTGGCACACAGTAAGCATTTAATAGATGCTTGGTGGCTGCCTGGCAGCAGTAAGTAGTGGTCACCTCCTATGACTGAGCTTGGGAGGCCCCTGACGTCTTGGATCCCGCCCAAAGAAGGCAGCTGATGGCCTGTTATGAAGACACTGTTGACTCCGCGCCTTGGTGCTTCTCTTGAGGAGGGGCCCACCTGGATTCTCCCCACCATCCTATGGGGTGTGGTCATCAGAAGTCAGGTTTCTTCAGTAAGGCCTGGTTTGGTTGCACCCTCTGTGCTCAGCCTGTGGGAGAGGTCTTCATTCTCTCACCTGGAGGTCCCTGTGAGCCGCCATTTTTCCTTCTAAGCCTCTCCTGATACTGGCCAGCACTCCCTTATTTCTTCTAAAAAATAGGTGGGCTTTTGGTTGATATCTTCTGTTTTTACACTGCTCTCGTTCTTTCCAGAAAGGCTATCCCTTAGTGTTTTTTAAGAGGAAGAAGAGAAAAACAATTCAGTTAAACTGATGAACATGTCAAAAGTCCGACATGACTTGTACTGTTCCACCTCGGGCCCCTGTCACGTTCCTCTGGGGGGGAATGAAGGGGGACGTACCTTCTCAAAGCTCCTTGACGTGGTTCTCGGCGCTCTCAGCTTCCCTTTTTGGTGGGTTTGTGGCTGTTCCCTCATGTCTCCTGGCATCTGTTCATAAGTGAAGCTCTTCTTCCAGAGGACGGGCGCCCTAACAGGGAGGCCTGGCAGGCCTCGGTTCAGACCTCCCTCAGATAGGTTCTAGGACTGTGGCCCTGGAGACCAGTCCAGTCAGTTCTGACTCCTAAAACGGGGCTTTGTGCTGGGCATCCTGCCATGGACCCTTCTTGGAGGCTTGTTTGTAAATCACAAAATAAAATATTAGGATTTCAAAGGATACCTGTGAGATTGGAAAAAAAAATATGAAGATAAATTTTTAGCTCCCAGATTAAGAACCTCCCTTCTGCTCTCAGTTGTGGTGTTCAAAGGAGATCATGTCTGTAAAATACATTGTAAATCTTAAACTGTAGGACTGTCGGGTGTTACTGCATCACAGTGTTTTGTGGAAGATATTTTGTAAACTGTAACACTCCAGGGGTGAAAGGAGAGGGAATAAACATTTATTAAGTGTTACTGTGTGAGGGGCATTGTGCCTAGTGCTTTGTAAATATCTCATTTGAACCTCACAACCCAGGGAAGCAGGTGTTACTGTGATTCCCATTTTACAGTTCAGGAAATCAAGGCAGACGGTGTGAGTTCCCCGAGGTCACAGAGCTGGTGTCTGAGGCTGGATTTTGAACTGAGGTCTTCCTGACCCTGCATGGTGGTGCCCCTAGTGATCTACAGACATTTGTAGTTATTATCCCTGTTATTCCATGATGAAATATCAGTCAGGGACACTTGGAGTGACCTTCGTGGCTCTGGGGTATGAGGCCAAGTTCGCCTGTTCATTCTGCCTCTTTTGCTTTTGTCTTTTCCTCATCCTGATCCTAAATTGGGGTTCTCTCAGATAGAGAAGACTCGGAGCACTTGATAACTAACCATTCTCATGTATTTGAGGGCGGAGCGGGGGGGGGGGGAGGTGGAGAGAGCCCAGGCTCTGGCTGCCTGGTGCTCCTGGACCAGGCACTTCACCTTAGTATCCTCTCCTGTCAGAGAAAGGGGCCGGGCCAGATGATGTCCGAGGCCCTCCTGGCTCCAGGCCTGGGATCCTGAGATCTCTAGTGTCTCATACACTTTGAGGGGAAGAGTGACCCTCCTGGGCTGCCATCCCAGGCTGCTGGAAAGGTGGGGGGGCACAGTAACCAAAGGGAATTTTGATGTCAGGAGGTTTGGGGCCAGGCCAGATATGTCCGGGACTGGAGTTCAGCAGAGTGGATACCTGCATTTGGGATCCTAACCAGGTGCTGATACCAGGCCTGACGGTCATGTGAGTGGCTGCCATCCCCATTGCTCCGTTACATCCCCGACTCTATGAGTCAGCAAATGAGGAGAAGCATTTTTATGAATGTCTCAGGCAGGCTGAGCTGGCTTTGTCCGCTGTCCCCTGGAGAGTACGTGTTGGACCCTGGCACTGGAAAGCATTCCATGCAGACCTCTGCTGTTGTTGGGAGAGAGAAGGAAAAGGACACCATTTTAACCTTCAGCTACTGGGAGCTGTCAGGGATGGAAAGGAAGGGGAAGGATGGGAGGTCACAGTGAGGCCGCCGGACCATGGGGGAGGTCCAGGTAGGATGGGCATTAAAGACAAAGGGACTGGGGGGAGGAAAGAGGAGCTAAACATTTGTTGAGTGCACATGATGGCTGTAGTCCATGCTGAGCCGTGGGCAGAGGGAGCTTTGTCCAGTTTAGGCTGGACAGCAGGAACTTTGTAAGAAAGAGCACTGCTCCAGGCTAGAGAGGTGGTGGTGGCAAGGCTGGGCCATCCTGAGGGTGTGATGTTGTACTGTGCTCAACACTTTACAGATGTGACCATGTTTGATTCTTACAACAATCCTGGGAGGTAGATGCGATTATCATTCCTGTTTTACAACTGAGGAAATTAAGGCAGACAGAGTCAGTAAATGTTTAATAAATATCTACTATGAACCAGGCACTGTGCTAAGCACTAAGTATACGAAAAGCCAAAGACAGACTGAATGACTTGCCCAGGGTCTCCCAGCTAATGTCTGAGGCCGGATTTGAACTTGGGTCTTCTTGCTTCCAGGCCCTTTGACTCATAGGCTTTGCCTGTGACACTCAAGATGCTTCCCAGCTAGGTTGGGTTGGGCTCTGTGGTCACAGAGATTAGCTTTGCATCCCCAAGGGGAAGAGAGCTAAGTGCACATCCCAGGGCACAGACAGGTCTTACTTCCATCAAGTCAGGTGTTTCAAAGTCGCTGGCCAAAAAGACCTTTAAAATAGCCTGAACTCTAATACCAACACCCTGGGGCCACTGGAGTTTATTGAATAAGGGGGAGACATAGTCAGACTTTCCTTTTAGGAAAATTACTTTACTGGAATTGGGGAAGACTTGAGGCAGGCAGACCCAACTGCAGGCTCTTGCAGTAATCAAGTATGAGATGATGAGGGCCTGTCCTTGGGTGGGTGGTGGTGTCAGAGGAGAGCTGGGACAGTGGTGAGGAGATGTTGCAAAGGTGAAATCAGTAGGCCTTGGTAGCAGATTAGTAAATGATGTGGAGAAATCCAGGATGACTACTAGGCTGGAAGGAACTGGGAAGATGGTGTCGCCCTCAGGAGTATTAGGGGAGTGGAATGAGTAAGCAAGGGGTATGTGAGCAGAGAATGCTGCAGGAGAGAACTAATGAATGTTGATGAAAACAGTTGAACTAAAATGTTACATAGGCCGTTTTTTTTATTATGGCTGAATTGGATTTATGCCACAGATTACAAGGATGGTTCAGCTTGATATAACCAGAATAATTAATCACATTAATACCAAAAATCTATAGAATTTTATCAGAAATATAACCTTTAACGACATAGCACAAATGTTAAAAATTCTTTTAAAAAAACACGTAGTAATTGAAAGACCTTTGCTTAATTTAATCCACAGCATTTATCTACAATTGAGAGCTAATATTATTTGTAATATAGAAACACTGGGCAATTTGCCAGTAAGATCTGCAGAGAAGCCAAGGATGCACCATATCTTCACTCTTCCTTGATCTACCATTAGAAATACTGGCAATGGCAGCAAAGCAAGAAAAATAAATCGAGGGAATGCGCATTGCTAAAATGGACTTAGAAAGTCAGTTTTCTTGGTGGAGAGGACACAGAAGACAGAACTTTGTTATATAATGGGGCATCGGGATATTTACAAGATTTTTTTTTGTCTTGTAGGTTGGGAAAGTATGTTTGAAACCAAGGTATCAATTCTAACACCAGAACAGTCATCCCAGAAGAGACTCACAAGAGATGGTCTTTGTGCTTCCAACTTGGAGGAATCTTGGAAATATGACTCCTGGATACAGAAACAGCAGAGAGATCATGAGGAATTTCCTCAGCAAGTAAAAGTCACTCAAAAGAAACCTTCCCGTGATGTCAGTGGTCATAAATATAATAAACTCGATAGTAGTATCAGTCTACAACCAGTCATTTTGCCACAAGAAAAAATATCTGTTGAAAAGGATTTCTGTAAATGTGATACACACAGAGAGAACTTTAGACTGTATACACATTTGTTAAAATGCAATAAAATGTACCCAAAGAAGATATTTTCTATGTGTACCGAATGTGGGAAATCCTTCAGGTATAATTTAACTCCTATTGAAAATCAGAGAATATGTACTAAAGCAAAAGAGTATAAATGTAACGAATGTGAGAAGGCCTTCTGCTGGAGATCACAGCTTATTAAACATCAAGCAATTCATACTGGAGAGAAGCCTTATGTGTGTCAGGAATGTGGGAAGGCCTTCCGGCAGAGCTCACACCTTACTCAGCATAAGACAATTCATACTGGAGAGAAACCTTATGAATGTGATGGGTGTGGGAAGACCTTTCGCCAGAGGAAGGGGCTTACTGAACATCAGAAGATTCACACTGGAGAGAAACCCTATGAATGTAATGAATGTGGCAAAGCCTTTCGCCAGAGGAAGGGGCTTACTGAACATCAGAAGATTCACACTGGAGAAAAACCCTATGTATGTAATGAATGTGGGAAAGCTTTTAGTCAGAGGACAGATTTTATTCGACACCAGAGAATTCACACTGGAGAGAAGCCTTACAAATGCAATGAATGTGGGAAAGCTTTCTCCCAGAGGAAAGGACTTACTGAACATAATAAAATTCACACTGGAGAGAAACCTTATGACTGTAATGAGTGTGGGAAAGCCTTCAGTCAGAAAACAGATCTCGTTCGACACCAGAGAATTCACACTGGAGAGAAGCCTTACAAATGCAGTGAATGTGGTAAAGCCTTCTCCCAGAGGACAGGACTTACTGATCATCAGAACATTCATACTGGAGAGAAAGTTTATAAGTGTAATGAATGTGGGAAGTGTTTCCGCCAGAACAGAGGACTTTCTGAACATCGGAAAATTCATAGTGGAAGGAAAGTTTGTGAACGTAATTAATGTCTGAAGTCAAAGTTTACTCAACATTAGACAATTCGCACTGGAGAGAACCCTTATGAATACAGAGGATTTATTTGATACCAGAGAAAAGCCATAGAGATGTCATGGTATGGGGTGGCCTTATACTGGAGCATACAGTTGGTCAACACCAGAGACATCTGGTCAACATCTTTACTTCCAGTCAAGCTGGGTTCTTTATTCTCCTCCTACGTAACATTCTATCTCCCATTTCCATCAATTTACACCACTTGTAATGCTTTCCCTCCTCATTTCTCTTGTAATCCCTGCTTGCTTTCAAGGCTTGGTTCAAGTGCCATCTTACTCCATAACCACTTCCCAGTTTCCCCATTTATTGGCCCCTACCCATCCCAAGAAATTTGGTGTGTATTTTGTCCATATTTGAGACTTATTTAGCACATACATATTGTTTTCCTCCAGAAGCAGGAAGTGCTTACAAGGCAGGAATCATCTTGTTTTTGTCTATATCCTCAGGACCTAGCAAGTGCTTGGAAGATATAAAGTGCTTAATAAATGCTTGAATTGGATTGAATATTTGAGAGAGGGCTTCCCTCCAGGGAAAACAGTGTCACAGAATGTCTGAGTTCTTTGGGACCTCATCAACCAAGCAGTCCATATACCAATGGAATCTATTCTAACATAGCCAATAAGTAGTCATCCAATTTCCACTTAACTGCCAAGGAGTGGGGACCCGTTCCCTCTCATGACAGTTCAACCCACTTATGGACACCTTTAATTTTTAGCTAGTTTTTTTTCTGACATCAGCCAAAATTAGCTTCTTTGCCTCTTCCATCTATGACTCCTGGTCCTTTCTCTGAGATCAAAGAGAAATCTAATCTTTCCTTCACATGAGAGCCCTTCAGGCACTTGAAGACCCCTATCATACCTCCCCCTTCCCCAGTCTTCTCTTCTCCAGGCCAAATACCCACTTCCTTGAGCTAATCTTCCTAGGACATGGACTCTAGCCCTTTACCATTCCCTCCTCTGGACACTCTCCTTCATAAAACGTGGCACTCTGAACACAGTAACCCAGATGTGGTCCAATTATGGCAGAGTACAGTAGGGCTGTCATTTCTGCCATTCCAGGAAGCTATGCCTCTCTTAAAGCAGCCCAAGATAGCGGTAGCTTTTGAGGCCTTCATATCACACTACTGATTCATAGGAGTTTGTAGTTCACTGAAACTCCCAATATTTTTTCATAACTGCCGTCTTGCTGTGTCTCCCCATCTTATACTTGTGAAGTTACTCTTTTTGTATCCAAGTGCAAGATTTACTATTGATTCCTATTGCATTTCATCTTATTAGATCCAGTGCTCTAGCCTGCCAAGATCCTTTTGAATCCTGACTCAGTCATCCACTGTATTGTATTAACTATCCCTCCCAAGTTGGTATCATCAACAAACCATCTCTGCCTTTATCTGAGTCTTTGATAAGAATGTTGACCAGCACAGGGCCAAACACACATCCTTGAGGTACTCCATTAAAGACCTCTCACCATGTTAACATTAAACCACTAACAACCACTCAAGTCCAACTCATCCAACCGATTCTTAACCCATCCGATGGTATTGTCATGTAATTAATATCCCTCTATATTTTTCATAAGAATTTTATGGAATATTTTATCAAAAGCCTTGCCAAAATCTAGGCAAACTATATCTACAACATTGTCATCTATTAGTTTATTCTGCCCCCTCCACCTATTGGAAATGAGGATAGTCTGCCATGATGTATTTTTTTTTTTTTGCTAGGCAGTGGGGCTAAGTGACTTGGCCCAGGGTCACACAGCTAGTGAGTGTTATGCATCTGGGGCTGGATTTGAACTCAGGTCCTCCTGACTCCACTGCACCACCCCACTGCCCTGATGTTTTCCTGATGTATTCTTGAGCTCTTTGTAATCACTGCTGACTATGTCTTTAATGGTCTGTTCTAGAATTTTCCGAGAAACTGAAGTCAAGCTCTCTGGTTCATAGTTTGTATCTGTTTTCTTCCCAGAACCCTTTGAAAGTTAGGATATCATTTGTCCTCCAATTCAGTGGCTCCTTGATCTCTCAACATCACATCCACAGTGCTCTCAGTATTTATGGATGTGGTTTATCTGAGCCCAATCACTTCAATTCATCAAGGTCAACTAGATGTTCTCTTCCAGTCTCCTTTTGTTGGATGTCAGCTCCCTGTGAATCTTTGTTCTGTCTTCAGGTGCAAAGGTCATTCTTCTTAGCCAAACCAGAATTTTTGAGCAGCTGCTCTCTCCGTGGTCAGTTACCGTTCTCCACAGTAGATGGTGCCATCTGTTTCCTACCATATTGTGGTTTGCCTGAGTACTTTAGTTCAGTAAAGGATCCCTCTTGTTTTGATAATACTTGGCTTGTAAATGCAGTCGTGGCATCTATACACGTGAGAGTAAAATTGTGTTGTGGGTGTAAGCCCGAGGCCTTGGCTGCCTTCTGCTTTCTGCTTTCTGTGAGCACAGACCAGTGGTCAACAAATCTGAGAAGTAAACGTTTCCAGCTCTGAGAGTACCCCTCGTGAGTTCGGGAAGTGAAGTTTCTGATGGTGCTAGCTGCTCAGAAGGAAGCAGTTACCCACGGTTGTACCATTTATCCCATAAGGAACCCAAACACTGCCTTCCACCTCCCCATCACTAGGAGAATACTGCAGCTAATGTGACTAAGGAAGCCCTGCCCTGGCTGGCCAATAGAGTAGCTCAGATAACGTGATTCTGAGATGAAATGGCAATGTCTGTTCCACCAGTCCAAAAGCGTTGTATCTGCCTTTCAGTGGAGTGTGAATGTGGTTATTTTGTGAATGCTTGCCTTTTAATCTGTTTTATCCGAAGCATTTTCTGTGGTGGAGTAAATAAAAAGCTGTCCTATAACTCATCCCCGTTTTGTACATGAAGTCCTTTGGGGGGGGGGTGCGGAGATTCTAGACATAAACTCTACCTAAGCTTTGCTGTAGAGATTTCCTTGGAGTTTCACTAGGACTGAGGGCAACCCAAACCCGAGAAGGAGAGACAGCCTAATTCCTCTCTGGGGTGAACCTTGGGAAGTCAGAGCCAGAGGTCCTTGGGAGAAGGGGCTCTCTGAACCTGGTGTCCTCTCTGTAACGGATCTCAGAAAGGGGGTCTTTGTAGCCTGCAACAATGTGCTGATGCACACCCTCCTGTAGATGGTATCTGGAGGTAAAGTGGTTCCTTGTGTCTCCTCACTGCCCCACCTACCGGCCAGTCCAAGACTTCAGGCTCTGCTGCTTGCTTGTGGCAGGTGACTGGGGGACTTAGAGCTGCCCTCGGTGCTAAGACCCAATCCACTCCCTGCCTGCCATCTCTTCCACCATTTTTAAGGGATCTCAAAGACCTTTCAGCCCAACTGCCCCCTTTTATAAATGAAGAAGAGGAGGCATAGGCGTAGCCTTGCTTCGGGGTCACAGAACTAGAAAGTGTCGGAAATGTGATTTGCCTCTGACTCCAGCACCTGATCCACTCCCCCAAAGGCACCGCAGTGCCTAGCCAGCCAACAGAGGTCCCACTCAAAACCTTAGGAAGAGCTTCTCTCTTTTCAGCTTTCCAGAGACCTCGGCTGGCTTCAAAGGAAAACAAGAACAGTGACAGCCCACATTTACATCACTTGGAGGTTTGCAGAATGAGGTCAGTCTGTATTTTATAAAAATTATATATATACACATGTACATATATATATGCACACATATATATATGTATGTATGTAAGTATGTATATATAGTGTCACTAACCCTTACAACAGCTTTGTGAGGAGGGTGCTGTCATCTCCATTTTACAAATGAGGAAACTGAGACTGAGAGGTTAAATGACATTCCCTGCCTAGGATCACAAAGCTAGTTAAGTGTCTGAAGACAGATTTGAACTCAGGTCTTTTGACTCCAAGTATAGCACTCTATGCATTGTGCCACCCAAGCTGCCTCTACGGAACAATCTGCAGTAAAGCTCATTATGTCCTATTCACTTGGCCCGGTATCTTCTTTCCTGCATGTGGAGCTCAGCCTATCAGAAACCCCATTCTTGTAGAGGACCCTCCCCACCTATGACTAGGAGAATCGGACCATTGAAAAGTCCTAAGTGACAACAATGTCCCTTTGTAAGAGGGAGCTAGATGGTGTGGTGAGGCAGGAAGATAAGCCCAGATCAAGCCTTGTGACACTAGCTGAGTGAACCCGGGCAAATAAGTCACTTCGCCTCAGTTTCCTCATTTGTAAAAAAGGGGAAATAGTAGCCCCTACCTCCCAGCTTGTTCTAAGAATCAAAGAGATATTTGTAAAATGCTTTGGAACCATAATGTGTTGGGTAAGTGCTAGCTCTCACTCTGTTAGAGGAGGCGTGAGCAGCCACAAAACATACCTTTCGGATGAGTCGCGATAGTCACGCGTGGTGTGGCCAATACGTGCTTTTCCCTGGTGATTCCAGACTGGTTAGGCAAATGCATTTCCTTCCCACTGGTGCTAAGCCTGGCTTCCCCGGTGCCGGAATCCCCATTTGTGGCTGGTTTTCTTTGTGACAATTACTTCCGTAGGTGAGATTCCTCTGAATGCTGTGGTTTGAAGGCCAGAGATGTCAGTGCGTGTTCCCATTAGGGTTTCATGGGTAGAGTAGAAGATGTACTTGTTTTAGGCAGACTGGGCCAGGGGGAGAAGGCTGTCCTCAGCTTTGAGTTGGTCCAGAGGACCGAGGCTCCTTTCTCCCCCTCAGTTGGGATGATCACAGCAGGCCCAGATGGAATCCGAGTGAGGGAGAATCTGATACTTCCAGAAGTGTGTCTAGGCCCTGATGCCCCTCGATGCGGAATTCACCTCTGATTAGGTGGCTCAGCAAACTAGAAAGCCACACCTAGGAGCTTTAAATAGAAGGAGATGTGGAGGCAGTTGTAGAAGAAGAACCACAGGCCTGCAAAACTGGGGTGGGAAGGAGAAGGGGGATGGGCTCCTTTAACTCCCTTTAACTCCCTTCCCCTCCGGCGCTGGTTTCCATGGGGATGTAATCTATCAGAGCACAGCTGCCGCCCCGAACAACTTCCGCCTTCCGTCAGAGCCACTGGGTCATGAGGAGACCCTGCATCCAGTGGGGAGTGGAGACACACTCCAGACAAAGGCTAGTCCTGGAGCTCGAGGGTCGGCTAGGAGGGGAACAGGTTCTGTGAGCCCAAGGGGCAGTTCTGGCAAAGACGACATACCCTAGGCGGCTGTTGGAGGATGGACTGTAGGCCGGGAAGCCGATCTGAGTCACTTGCCTCTTGCAGTATCCCCCACACATGCCTCACTACCATCTTGCTCTCTGTGAGATTACTCAGACACTGGTAGCATCTAGATTTGTGCGTGAGAGACAGCCCAGGCTTATGGAGGGAATATAACTACTGGTGTTAGGGTGCCATCTTGGCCTTTGCCACGAGCCAAGTGCACTGGCGTGATTGTTAATGACTGGCAGCCTGGTGGGAACTCGTGAGTTAGAGTTAGGGGTGTAGACCCAGGGCCATTATTCTTAGCCCCCTGAGTAGGAACCATTCTTGGGATCTGAGCCTTAAGGGGGCGTGTAAGAAGGGCACAGGAGGGTTCCAGGGGAAATGGGGCCTGTTACGCTCATGAGAATTCCTATAGTCCTCTATGCATTTGCAGGAACTTATTAGAGCAGAGGAGGGGAACCTGCAGCCTCGAGGTCACATGTGGCCCTCTAGGTCCTCAAGGGCAGCCCTTTGACTGAATCCATACTTCAGAGAACACATTTTTTTTTACGCCCTTTATGTTTTTATTTTTAGGCAATTGGGGTTAAGTGACTTGCCCAGGGTCACACAGCTAGTAAGTGTCAAGTGTTTGGTCTGAGGCCGGATTTGAACTCAGGTCCCCCTGACTTCAGGGCCAGTGCTCTATCCACTGTGCCACCTAGCTGCCGCGAGAACACATTTTTATTAAGGGGATTTGTTCTGTAAAGTTTGGATTCAGTCAAAGGGCTGCCCTTGAGGACCTAGAGGGCCACAGCTTCCCCATCCCTGGGTGAGAGAGGCTCCCTCCTGGAAGCTTGTTCTTGGATGCCTGGTTTGCTGGGATCTACTGGACAAAATATCTTGTTTTTTCCTCTTTCTTCTTTTCTTTTAGATTTCAGATTCCTCCCACCCTGAGCCATTCATGGTTCAACAGCCTAGGTCTCTGGCCCTAGCTGAATGCTGGGCTCTTCCTCAGGCTCCACCAAGCGCTGCACATCTCCACCGCCCCACGTGGCGTCCTGGTGGCCTGTCCTGCTCCCTCACTTCCTCAGTTTTCTGGCCTGGCACCAGCAGGTCGGGACCTGTTTTCCCTGGCACTGCCTGGTCAGGGCCCATTTTCCCTGGCAGCTGCCAGTCAGGCCTGTTTTCCCTGGCACTGCCTGGGCAGGGCCCATTTTCCCTGGCACCAACTGGTCAGTGCTCTGCAACAATGGTATTTCCAGGTTGGAGTCCCAGGCAGGTTTTGTTTCTGAAAGGCTCTGACCACTCTGGCTGTTGAGACCCAAGCAAAATGCTGCAGCTTGGCTGCACTGGAGAGACAGGGGGATGGGCACCGGGATGGGCTGTGATGATGTGTCACGACCTTGGCCAGCTAGCACAGCCTCGCCGTGTCCTAGTAAGGGGGTCTGAGAAAATCCGTAGGGTGCCAGCGAGGAGACTCAAATAGAGGCGTCAGAGAGAAATGAATCGATGTAGGGAAAGTACTTGCCAAGGAGGCACTGAAAGTTTAATGGATGTTCTATTTGACGGAGCGCACATCTCTCTTACCCTCAGCTCTACAACCATGTTTCAGTGTGCTGTAAAATTTTCCTTCTTCAATAATCCCACGAGCTGTGATGTGAGAATGACCAGGCCTGAAGTTAGGAGGGGACTCCATCAGTCCGGGCATTTTTCTAAGCAGAGAAGTGCTGAGACAACAGTGGGTATAGGTTTTTCCTCCGACAGAAGGGGCCTCAGAGGCTCTCTGGTTTGGCCAGGCTCCTTCCCCATGCCTTCTGATGCCATCCTGTTTCCCCCGACCTTGGGCTTCTCTGTGCCTACACAAGCTCTTCTTGCTGTGGCACTGGCTGCCCTGCCTTCCCCCTCCCTGGCCACTGCAGCGGGAGAATGCTGCCACTGATGGGTAAGTAAAGCTCCACCCTAAACCTCCCATGCAGTTGTTCATCTTAGGCTGTACCATCTTCTCTAGGACAGAACTCTTCCTTGAAGGCAGGGAGGCCCTAAATAGAGGTTTGTTTGGGTTGAGCCAGCCCCGGAGTTGGGGCAGGAGGAGATTTCTGGCCCATGAGCCTGGGAGGGGCCAATCCTTCCCACTCTTCTCTTTCCTTCCCGGCTCCATCTCCTGAGGACTCTGCCCCTCCCGCCACCAGGAGCAGGAGCCCAGAAGAGGTGGGGGTGGAAGAGGTGGGGGTGGCCACAGTGTTCCTGAGGGCCAGAGCCTAGCTGGTGAGTGGGAGAGCCTTCCCGAAATGGGGTTTCCTTGCCTTGTTCCCATCTCCTCCCCATCACCCCTGCACTTCATGTCATGTACTAAAACTCAGAGTAGGGAAGCCCTGGGTTTGAATCCCACCCCAGAGGCTTATGAGCTGTGTGGCCCTAGGCAAGGCCTCTCTGGGCTTCCTCAGTTTCTTCATCTAAGAAAAGAGGAGATTGGGCTCGGTGCTCTCCAAGGCCTTTCCACTCTGAATCCCTAAGTCCCCTAACTCAAAAGCTGGACGGCACCCAGGAGTCAGAGAGAATCCTACGGGGCTCAGTGCTCTGAACTGGCCACGCTTAAGAAGCAGGGGAGGCAGGAATGAGTCTGTATCTCAGGCCTCCCCGGGAGCTCCTCCCCTCCCAGGGCTGGCCGTCCTTGGAGGTGCCAGGTGCTCCCT